TTCCACTCTTATAGCGTTTTTTAGCGCAATTTCGCAGTTGTCCAAACGACCCTTCGGCTCCAGAATCACACCAGGAGAATCTAGCAATCGAATATGTTTACCCAAATCCACTTCCTGGATTTGCCTAAAAAACACTGAATAGACCGAACACAAGAACCACTCAGTTTTATCGTTGGATTTACGAACAGAGTGAGTCTAAAGACCAATCTCCTCGTTTACTTGTCAACTCAAAAAAGTCCATGTATATGTACCGTGTAATTCCAGGTGCTGCGCCAACATCGCAAACTCTTTTTCGCTTCAAACTATTTATAACACTGCTTTTCCCGACATTCGGATAACCTGAAAATTTCGAAACAATAGCCACTGGACACATGCTCTTACCGGCCTCCTATAGGTCTACCCTAAGTCTATGCCTAACAAGTTCAGTAAAAGTTCCCTGACAACTGCGCAGGAGAAATGCTTTCTTCTGTTTTCTCTTGAGTGCTACAACAATCACGAACCTTGCTACATTTTGCAGTCCTTATCAGAACAAAATAATTAAACTCTAATTCTAGGGCTTCTGCTGGGAGAACCACTACACTGACAATCCCTTCAAAAAACGAAATGCACGTTATAGTCATCGGCAGACCGACGAAAAGGAGATAAAGTTTTCACTAAGCCTAGCTGTGTAGTAGGAAAACCGGACAGTGAATTAAGGCTGACCCAAAAGTCCAAGTATTTTTTAATAAGGGATTTTGATCAAATAAAAATGGAAGTAAAAGTAAATGCAGCTTATGCAGTTATAGAAAACTAGAAGGATTTGATCTGTAACAAAACACAGACCCACAATGCCCACTCGAATTGAAGTTTTGATGTCCTTATTTCTGCAGTAGTTTGATAGCAGTTTCATCAAAAGCTCAGCGCCAACACATTTCGAACTCGCAGAATGCAAATTCGAAGTGAGAAAACGTCCCTAAACAAAAACAATTCGTCAAGTTTTTTGAAAAATAAATCTTCCGATAATAAATAAAGCTTAAAAACGGAAAAAAAATGGCTTGCTAAACGTCCGGAGCGCTAGCAGATGAGCAGTAAGCGATGGGAAAGTTACTGGCTGTACGGCTAGACAAACATACAGTGAATTACAGCTGCTGCGGCAAAAAAGTAAGCAAATAAGTAAGGAAGGAAGCAAGTAAGTAGGCAACTAGACACTTAAGCAAATAAGTAGAGTAAATTCTTAAGAAAATCGCCAAGTACAACGTCAATCGTCAAATCGAAGTTCTAGCAAAACTTGCGCCTCCTCTCCTTGACAATTCACAATAAAAGAGACTGAAAAAATTACACTAAAGCAGCCTTTGGTATTCGCAGTTACGTATTTTCGCGAAGACTAAGTGGGCTCTGCGAATGCACTTACTAAGTTACG